TGAGAGGGTACTCCAAGTCTGTTCTATCTCGTGCCATAGTTTCCTGGCCTCTGGGAAATCCATAAAACAGTGATTTAATGAGAGGGTACTCCAAGTCTGTTCTATCTCGTGCCATAGTTTCCTGGCCTCTGGGAAATCCATAAAACAGTGATTTAATGTTTCCGGGGTTTGGAGGTTACCTACTTCGCACCAAGAATCCTGTTCTGTTCTATTTTCCTTTTTGTGTCTTTGCGCCAGCCAGTGGTTCACGGGAACTGCTCTGAAGCCTATTAGCCATCGTAGGCTGGCTAGTTTTGTTGGTCTGGTACAGAAAATTGAGGACCAGGGTAGGGATATTTGAGCTTCGGTGAGTGTGTTTTCCTCCTTGGCCCATCTTTTTTGCAGGGTATTGGTTATTGACGGCGGTTTTGTGAAGAGACGGTACCCTAGGTTGGGTTTGTAGTCGGTAAGTGCGTGACAAATTGATATACTAGAGAGGCGACTGGTAGTACTCCAGGACCATTCAGTAGGGTCCATTTCCAATTCTTGGATGCTGGACTCAGGTTTGAAGACCCTGTTTCTTTCCCATTCGACGACCTGTATTCTTCGTAGGTTCTGTACTAGGAAGCATGCCTCTGCTCTGCTTGCGGCGTTAAGAAAACTTACTGAATTGCCTGGTTCGTCGAGGGTAAAGATGTCACAACAAATCCAGTTCTTGCTCTGCGTTTCATAGGATTTGAATTTCAGGATCTCTACTAACCGTTCTTGATCCTTTTGTGCTGCCCGGTCGCCGAACTGCCACTTTTGGTTAGTAGATAGTAGGCATCTCCACACTATTGGGATGCTCTCGATGATCCGATTAATGCTTGCTTGAAGGTGGTGGGTGCCTTTCATGATTGGCCTTTTAGATCTTTTTCTGATTTCCATTTGTTGGTCGTGGCGTCCCAAAGGTGCTGAATTTGCCAGATGCCTTTTTCTATCCATAGTCCCCATTTGGGTTCTGATCTGGAGAGAGCGAAGCATTCTGCTTTCTCATTCTTGATCCAGGAGTTTCCAAAGAGGGGTTGTCCGAGTATTTCGTCTCTTCTTTTGGGTCCGATCTTTTGTTCTCGGGGAATATGTTTCTGCAGTTGTATAGGATTTGACCGTAGGGATTTTGTGGGTTCGCCGTCTTGTGCGTCATCTTGAGCTAGCTGTTGGTTTTGGGTTGTTTTATTTTTGGGAAGAGGCCAGTCCTTGTTGTAAACCCCAAAAATTCCGGTCATGTTTTCAGGAGATTTAAATGGGGCCATCTCCCTGATGTGATTTAGGGCAAGCGGTGCCCAATGTAGGTTATCATGGAAAGAGATTCTCAAGATCCGCTTGGTTTGGAGGGCTCGGATCTGTCGGGCTGGGTCAAGCAGACCTAGACCACCTTTGGCTTTAGATTGGGTAACTGTTTGCCCAGCTACCTAGTGAATGAAATGTTGTTTGTCTGGGTCACCTGTCCACAGGAAAGCCGCCGCTTTTTCCTGATCTGGCATTGGAATTCTTATGATGGGAACCATATGGAGGTGGCATACCACATCATGGCTAGGATGGAATTATTGAGGGCTAATACTTTACCTAGTAATGAGGTGTGGATGTTCTTCCACGAGTGCATTCTATTAATCATGGATGGTAGTAGGGAGGCCGTGACATCCTTTTGCATTTAAGTTAATACCTAAGAAGCAACAGCGAGGTCTGCCCATTGCATCCCTTCTGGTGTGAGTTCTACGGGGGCGGGGGACATTTGAGAACCACCAGCCAGTTGTTTTAGTCCAGTTCACTTGCATTTCAGAGGCTAATTGAAAGGCTTGCATTGCTCTTGTTAATGCTTGAAAGGAGGAGTTGGATGCCCTGATGAGAACCGTAAGACTGTCTGCGAATAGAAGGGTGGTGGGGATTTGTAGGGGTTGACCTCTTTCGTCTTTGATGTCGATTAGTCTCTCTATGGATGGACCTTCTCTCAGGAAGGCTGCTATGGCTTCCATTACGAATAGAAAGATTGGGGCAGCTAATGGGTCGCCTTGTCGTACTGAACTTGTCATTTGGTAAGCATCAGTCCGTTTCCTAATCCACCGGCAAGTCAGAATATATTACAACAGAAACTCACACACACACCTCCCCACTGTGCACCTTCTGAAGTTAAAACCACCAGTCAATCTGAAGCTAAATTGAAGAACCAAAACGGGCGAAAAATTCAAAAAATGCAATTGACCAAGCCTGCTTTCGACCGGTACTGCGAGTTAGCAAATCTGAAGCGGTACCGGTAGCAACCGTGTGTGTGACGAAAAGGACAGGTTGGCAGGCCTTATCAAGGCAGCCTGCCTGTCTGTTTTGTTTCTTCCTTCTTTTTTTTCTTTTTTTTTTTGTTTGGTTGTTGGAAGTTTTTTCTACTCGTTTGTCTTTCTTTTTTTTTCTTCTTTTTTCTTTCATTTTTTTTTTCTAATCGGAATCTAGTGGGACAGGACCTGGCTCGATTGGTGCACCCATGAACTATTGAAACTTGAAATACAAACCTGAGTCCGAGTCCAGTGGGAGCTGAATGAATGATTCTGAATTTACCTGGGGCCAGTCAGTCTCACCGCTCACCAAATTTCCAAAACGAGAATGAATCATCCACTAGAACGTGGAAAATCTGTGCATCTGGTGAGTGCTGCAGTGAGGCCCAAGCCCCGGCCACGCCACAATGCTTACCAAATCTGCCCTGCTGAGTTGACAGGGCGGATTCCAAAGAGGGGGGGGGGGGGGGGGGGGGGATCAAAAACAAGAATAACAATTAAAAAAAACAAAAAAGAGCAAATTCAAGATTTCATATGTAGCGATAGTCGGCAGCCGTCCACGATACATTTTAGATTTGTTCTTTGGGAGTTCGGGTGTGCTGCGGTACCATCATTTCACCCTGCTGAGCTGGCAGCGCGGTTTTGCCGTGAACAAACACACACACACAAAAAAGAAAAGGAATACAAAAACGAAACAGCTGAATATGTTGCGCACCCCCCTTTGGTTGATCATTTCACATCTCTCTGCTGTACTTTTCCGTTTTTGTGGGCCCACCAGCCCTCTCCCTACGAGCGCTCGAGCGGCTGTCGGCCGTTCTAGGCCGGCACTCATATATGAAAAGCAACGAACAGTAACCGCCTGTTGAACTGGTGGTACAAAGGGACATACCTGCAATTCTGTAGGCACAGGGCGCGTATTTCCTAGCAAATCCATCAAAAGACCGCTGGGCAGCAGGACTGTTGGCTGAGGCAGTGAAGCACTCAATCCACCGAGACAGAAAAGTCGTTAGATTCATTGGTCGATGCCCCCATCTGAGCAATGGGACTGGACCAGTACCATAACAGTACCACATACACCTGCACTGAAAATTAACGAGTCCAGGTCCACCTGACACTGAACTGAACTGGTGGAACCAAGGCCTCAGAAAATCAGAGATACTGGTCTACCTGGACCAGATGAATTTGATTCATCCATCCAGGCACTGCAGTGCAGGCTGATCTGAAACCTCATCCAGCAACGGTAGGCCCTGGGTGGCCACCCAAGCGAGAAACGGGAATGAAAGTATGGTGCTGGCTGCTCACAGCATCATTGCTCCCTCTCACTGATTGCTACCAGGCTTCTTAGCACGAGAGAGAGAGAGAGAGAGAGAGAGAGAGAGAGAGAGAGAGAGAGAGAGAGAGAGAGAGAGAGAGAGAGAGAGAGAGAGAGAGAGAGAGANGAGAGAGAGAGAGAGAGAGAGAGAGAGAGAGAGAGAGAGAGAGAGAGAGAGAGAGAGAGAGAGAGAGAGAGAGAAGGGAAGGGGGAGGGGACGCGGAGCATGGCTATCAGGACAGAGCTCTCTCTTTGACTGTTGATAGTGTCATCTGGTATAATCCATATGGAGGGTATGTACACCACATCATAAAGAAGATCGAAGTGTTGATGATTAGGGCTCTACCCACTAATGAGGAGAAGACCGTCCCCATTTCACCATTTTGTTAATTTGGTTGGCTAACGTGTCCTGTGCCATCTGTGGGGAGGGGCTGTCCTTTGTGACCTGGATTCCCAAGTATCTAGTCGTTCTCTCTGGTCTCTCCCAATTCTGGCTTTCTGTTCCCTGCAGTTGTGGGGATTCCTCGTCGTAAAGCCACTAACCGTCTTTCCACAATTTACCTTCAGTTCTGTAGCTACCGTCTTCACCCGAAAATAACGCCCGGGCATCATATTCAACTTACCCTAAAAAAATCAGATTTTTGTTTTTACTCAACTTTTTCCCAATGGAGCGCCCCTCCAAATATAGCACCCGCACGTTATAATCGAATATAATTCCCGAGCGCTATATTTGAATGCGCCATGGGCAGAGTGCCTTGTAGAGGCAGTATACATGGCTTTTAAAGAGGAGGAAGGGGGGTATACTGTATACCTGGGTTTTAAAAGGGGGTTGAAATAAGTTTTGACTCTCAAGTCTTTTGACTTCCAGGGGGTATGCCGTATACAAGAGTTCTGAAATGACCCTCACCCAAAGTTGGTTGCATTGAAATTGCAGACCACATTCTTTTTTTACAGAATTTTTTTTTTCCCTTTTCTCTTGAAATTTGGGGCCCCACGGTCCTCACCGAAATTGCCACCAGCTTACCAAATATATAACGCCCGGCCTCTGAAGGGTCACGTCATTTTCGGGTGAAGCTGGTGGTTTGAGGGCTCCCATAGCTCGGACTAATGCACCCATAGTTTGAAGGCTCCCATAGCTCGGACTAATGCACCCATAGTTTGAAGGCTCCCATAACTCGGACTAATGTACCCATAGCTTGGACTAAGGCACCCATAGCTCGGACTAATGCACCCATAGCTTGGACTAATGCACCCATACATAGCTCGTACTTATGCACCCATAGCTCGGACTAATGCACCCATAGTTTGAAGGCTCCCATAGCTCAGACCAATGCACTAACCGCTGAGTTCGAGGCTCGGATAAGCACTGTCAGGTCATCTCTGACCCATCTGCAAACATGATGACCATGGGGGATTTTTTTCTGGCAATCTTTCAATGGAGGGGTCCGTACGGAGGAAGGAAGCTATCGCTTCGATCACAATCAACGAGATTGGAGGTGCCAGGGGTTCATTCCCCTGTCTCACTGATCGGGAGATAGAGTGACCGTCTGAAATCATTCCATTGATCTGAAGTTCTGAACGCATCCAACTGCATTGTCATACAGAATTCTCACCCATTTTCTGAAACTGGGGTTGCAACCCCAACTTTTCCATGCTGGCATCAAGGAAGGACCGTCCTATTGACTTGGTCATGACTCATAAGCCTTCCCAAAATCAAAGAATAGAGTGGCCGTTTGGGTTCTTTTCCCCCGATTCGTTTTTCAAAGACCTTTGCCGCTTCATTCAGTGATATTACGTTGTCCAAGATGTAACTTCCTGGTATGACCCCTGCTTGCTCAATATGGAAACACTTGTCCGTTAGGTTTAGAATTTGGAAGAGGATCTTGTAGGGTAGAGTAAGCAAAGAAAAAATAGGTCTGTAATTCCGGCTGTCTTCTTGGCGTTCTCGTTCTCCTTCTTTGTATAACAATGTGACTGTGCTGCTGCTTAGGAATTCACCCATATGCGGCTATGCCCCTTTGTCCCAGCTGTCCCTATAGAAGGTCAGGACTCAGGAGATCATTCCCTACCGGTAGTGCAGGTGTTACATCTTCGATGCCACACGGGTCCTACCGGACCCAACTTAGGGTTAGAGGGACACAGTAGGGCCTAAAGGCCCGACCTTGGGGGTACTACAGGCCGTAAAGGCCTCACTTTGGACCAGACCCGACGGGCAGGCCCAAACGACATTACCGTTTGGGCCTGGCGGCGCTCTTGAGGCTGCCGCCCGCCGGTTGGGGCTGAACTGTCCATCTTGACGGTTCAGGGCACGGCCAGGCCTCGCAGCATTGAGGCCGGCCTCTGCCCCACCGGTACAAAAGTACCGGTCCAGCCTCATTCAGGGATCGAACCACCGGCAACTTAGCGGTGTGTTATGGTTAGCGCCAGAGCGCTAGCGCTATACTTAGCGCAGGAGCACGAGGAGCGGCAGCGGCAGCGGTAGCGCAGCAGCGGCAACGAGCAGAGCAGCAGCAGCGGCAACGAGCAGAGCAGCATCAGCGGCAACTGAGCAGGATCGGCGGCCATAGTCGCCTGAGGTATCGGGAACCGGAGGTTCTCTCCTCCCTCCCATCGCCAGTCCCCTCTCTCTCTCTCTCCTCCTCGACTCCCCTCTTCTTCTTCTTCTTCTTCTTCTTCTTCTTCTTCAGACTCTCTTCTTCTTCTTCTTCAGACTTCTTCTTCTTCTTCTTCTTCTTCAGACTTCTTCTTCTTCTTCTTCAGATTGGATACTTGATACTAGTTGGACAGAGATCAGTGTTGGACTTCGGTAGTAAGAGGCTGTGGTACTTACCAGGTTTGAGACTTGGAGATTGTTGGGGATGATACTCGGCTGCATCACAGATTGGACACCGGTTACATWWGGACTCTGTATCTCCGACATTGGTGACTTATTGTCCCCGRCATTTTGATCTTGTTCGATGACATTTTGGATTACCATATCGGTGACCTACTGGTTTCTATCTCGGTGACATCTGGTGCTACCTACATCTCCCACCTCCTTCGTCTCTCCTCCCACCTTCATCTGTGTGTACGGGGCTGAGCATCACTATGTATGGCTCAGACCCCACCATCTCACGATTGTATGTGTGTGGAGTGATATCTATGTGAGTCAGTCTATGTGAGTCAGTCCGTTTATCAGACTTCCGCTGCATATATGCTCATCCTACATTGGTTGATCTTTGGTTCTGCCCATACTCATTGAAGTATGTAACAGTTTTGGTATCGGCGCAGACCATTTTACGGATCTGCTCACCAGGTAAGTCTGATTAGGAATTAGATTGCTTCTTCAATCTTCCAAATCAGCTCTGTATTACTATCGAGTTCAAAGTTGCAAATTTTTTTTCTTTTCTCGGTATTCTGTTTATTTCGGCATTTCCGTTTCAATTCGGTATTCGGACTTGTAATTCGGATTTCTGTTTTACTCCGGTATGCTGTTTAATTTGAGTTCCAATAAATTTATACTAATCCGACATGCTGTTTAATTCGGATTTCTGATTAGGATGAAATCAGTACTCTGTGTAATTCGGCATTCTGATTTTCAATTCGGTTTCCGTTTATCATTCAGCATTCTGGTTTTAATCCGATATTTCGTTTTCTAAATCGGCATTTCCGTTTTATTGCAGTAGTGGAAATTAGGGTTACGAAAATTTTGGTTTTGATCAACTTGGGAAATTCGAACGTTTTGGAACCGTAAATCCGGAAATTCCGCCGAAACGCGGAAAATTAGGGTTGGGCCCGCAATTTTCGCAATTTTTTTTTTTCTTTCCCTTGTTTGAGAAATTCCGAAAACAGGTTTAGGCCTTTAAAAATCGGATTTTGGACAGTGGAAATTCCCAAAATTTCACATTTTTGGAAATTCGAGTGTTTTCTCCGGATTTTGTCCGAATTTTTTTTTTGGCAAACTAATCCGAATCTGACCCTCAAACTTGCAACTTCCGGGTAGTTCACTAATTATCGGTGAAATCCCGGACTAAAGATGATCTCAACGGATACCTGATCTTGATAACAATTCAAATTCGTTCATTATCATTATTGCAAATATTGTTTTAATTGATTATCATTAAGAAATCATTATTGCAAATATTGTTTATTGATTATCATTTAAGAATGATTATTTCGTATTAATCATTAATTCAACTTATTGATTAAATAATTCGTTATTATTTTTCTTATTACGAATTTTTTCGAATTGTTTACGGGAAAATTTATTTTCTTCTGTTTGATTAGGTGTTTCAGTCCATCATTAGGGACAGGGACTGTATGTATATTGCTTGATTTGTTCTATCCCTGTACCCACCCTCTCCCTCACACTGTTCTGCGACCTTCGGACGAGCGAGCCTCCCGCAGCAGTTCTGATGCCAGCAGGGCAACCTCCGAACAGCAGCCACGACGCAGCAAAAGGATCGCAGATCTCGAACAAAAACAGCCACCTGCAGATCGACAGCAGCCACAGACCAGCACTCAGATGGCGGACACAACAAACAGCGGAACGTCATCTGAAAGTTCGACATCTGGCAATGCCGAACCCTTACCGGTCTGTCCGGTGCAAGGGCCGAATGAGTCCCTCCCGGACTTCATTCAGAGAGTGCAGGACTATACAGCCGCACTCACCCTTGCCAAAGAACGGCAAGAGGCTGCCAAAGCAGAGAGACTACGGCTAGCAGCAGAAGCTGCAGCCGCAGCCCAGCGTCAAGCTGAGGCAGACCAGTTGGCGACCGATCAGCTCAACGCCAACAGCGCTGAACTTCTGCTTTCTAGCCAAGAGCAGTGGACAGCGGTACTCAACGGGATGCGTTATGTTCCCGTAGCCGGCACCGAGCCAACGACAGTGCAACAGGAGAGGCAAAACCTGGCGGACATTCTACTCAACACGATGCGCGCAGTCATCTGGAACAGCACCATGGGGGAACTTCATTCCAAGGCCACACGGCAGCTGCAGCAAGATCTGAACCACAACGTGAAGACACTTGCAGCAGCCGTCAAGGTCGTGGACTCCCAGCTGAAACAGTTGGACGCCCGCATTGCTACTCTGGAGGCAGGGCCTCCCCAAGCAGCGCCAGGCTGCACGACGGACGTGACGAAGCAGCTCAATGGGCGCATCGATCATGTCGTCAATCTCATCGGCGACTTAGGTGCTTTCACTGGGCCGGACACGATCAGTAGCACGGTGGCCGCCATCAAGACGGACATCACCAARCTGCAGACGAGACCGGACGCCGCTACCAAGAATTTCAAGATGCCGCAGTTCACCATCAGCAAGTTCGACGACTACAACAAGACCGACGCTTTGACATGGTGGCAAGGTTTCCTCAGGGAAGCATCCTGCCGCACTGTCCCGACTGAAGACATGTTGAAGGCGCTCTACCTACAACTGATTGGAGGAGCGCAGGCATGGATGAATCACCTGGCGGCTACCAAGCAATGCACCATCGCCGAACTCCACACGCACATCACGTGGAAGGAGTTCGAGCAACTATGGTTCACTCAATTCATGGTCCGCATCGTCGTGAAGGTGGCCATGAACGAGCTGTACACTTGCTCACAGGGAAGTATGCCAACTCGAGACTGGACGATTAAGTGGCAAAAGATAGTGACCACGCCAGGCTTCGATTTGAGCTTTACAAACCAACGATCCGAGTTCTTCTCGCGATCGTGCGCATGATTGCGATCAGCACTCAGCAATGAGTACGACTATACCTCGTTCCAGGCTATTCTGGATCGCGCAAACCTGGTCATCCAAACGGACGACAAGGCCGCTAACGAGAAACAATCCCAGCCGCATTATGTGGCTAAGCAGGGCTATCAACGACAGGCACATAACAATGCCGTGATTTCGGACGAAACAGTTGATCTCCATGCTGCAGCAGCATCCTCGAGTGATGGAGGAATTGTAGCAGCGCTCCCGCCGAAGCGTCCCAAGAGAGTTCGGAAGAACAAGGCGACACAAGAGACGGCATCGAAACTGAGTTACGCAAGGAGAGGGGCGACGTCTCTCCTCACTCCGCCGGACCCGGTTGCCTTGCTAGCAATCGATGTCACTACCCGGGAGCATGCGTTAGTCGCTGATTCTCGTGCTACGTACGAGGATTATGCCGCCCAGCTGGTACCACCACTAGACCAGCCAAGCCATGTGCACTTAGCTTGCGTATGCGCAGCCTGTACACCGTCGGCAAGTGATCCGGTCAGCTCGCCACTGATTTCCGAGGACTCGACGGCGTGGTCAAGACTTGAGGAGCTTAACCCGCTCACGAGAGAGGACTTCGCTTGGATGCATCTTCCCTCAACCGGAACCTTGCCAAGGCCGCATTGCAACGCCTTGATGGCAAATCTACGCTCCTATTTGCACGCTGCAGTACCAGCTCCGTTGACGAACGACGGGGTAGCGGTTGTCGATCTCCGCTCCTATCTTGCGAAGATTGACCGCGAGTACGCCACCCAAAGGTAC